AGAGTGCCTGCAACTGGAATCTCGGTGCCGGGAAGATTGCTTTTGTTTGTCTGAAGCAGTTAGCGGAGAGAGCAAGGGTGCAAACCGGACAGCCCTGGCATTATGGAGGTAGCTTTGCTCAGCTCCTAACTCTAACTCAGCCTGTCCAAGGGCTACTTCAAGGCCCTGTGTGAATTAAATAGAAAGAATTCACTGCAGATTCCACACGTGAAGGGCTGATCCAGCGCTGCACTGTGCCCTTCTGAGCCAGCTAGCGTGGTGCTAAATGTGGGAGTAGCGCAAAGTAGCAGGACCAGGACAACCCACCAATCTCCTGTCAATATAGCTGCTCATAGGACAAAATCTACAGGGGCCATGCCAGCAGAAACACACCCGAAAGGCAATTCTGGAGTTAAGCCCTGAACTAGACCGAATACCTGTACTCTGGGATGAATCGCTAGCGTTTTCGCCAGATTTTCCACCAGCCTCGGTGGACTCTTCCATCAGGCCCATAAACCACAGTTACCAGCACATTTTGTGAGGGCACCCAACATAGAAGGAGCTAAAAAACCTGCTAGCAACACCACCGAGCCTAGACCTTTGAGACAAGGGCAGAGGCACGTTCCAGAAGCACGAGGCTATAATATTTACCATCTTGCTAAGCAAGTAACTTTAGCTTGAAGCTGGAAACTTATAGCTGGACTCTGTTTAGAATAAGGAATTATGGCTGAAGATAATCTCTTTTATAGACATTGAAATTAGCCGTCAGTGCTCATCCTGGGGTGGTTTGGTTTATTGTTCCTGAAATATAAGCCAAGCAGCAAAGCGGTCTGTTTACATCGCAGCCTGTGTAAGAGGGAAGTGTAGCAACCAGAGCAATGCAGTACACAACAATGAGAATATTGAGCTCAGAGAGTCATATGGGACTGGAGCATCAAATTCACTGTCGGTATCTTAGAAGCAAGAAGCTCTCAGGTGGGAAAAATTCATGTGAGAGATCTCAAAACCCTGGATAGCGAACACATCTCCCTCATTTGACAGAGATCTGCACAGAGCATTAACCCTAACAAAACCACGCTGCTTTGCGTTAGTTTTGTCTGAATCGGAACTGTATACACGGCAAAAAGCTTGATGCAGGTTGTTGCAAAGATTGAATGAGGCCTTTGCAGAGGAAGGGGCTGGGAGGAAGATGAGCGAGCAAGGGCATGGTGAAGACAGCAAAGCTTTAGTAAATATCAGCAGATCCGTGTGGGGTGTCACAATAACCTTTTCGAAAGTGTTCTTGAACTGGTATACAGTACCTGGACAAAGTTATGACTGCAAGTACAAGTTACTAATGTTTGAAACTTCTTGAAGGCGATTCTGTGCCAAACGTTTCTGTGAAGAACTCAAAGATGAGGGTAAGAAAGAAACTTGTTCCAGTTAGAAGAGGTGTACTTTTCCTCACCTCCAGTTTCCCTGAAACCCTAAACTTCTTCGAAATTTTAAAGAAAAAAAAGGCAGCAACTGTTTGTGTTTCCTATTCTGCTAGAGCCTCGATAGTGAGGTGCCCCCATCATATCCTCCTGCCTCAGCTCGTACAGATAGTGCACTGAGCATGCCAGAAGGACCCAGAAAAAAACCCTGGCCATTTAATTTGTGCCTCTTTTAGACTTCTCCCCTTGCACGCCACAAATAACCATTGCCACTGGGTGGGATGAACACACTTGGCTGTTAAACCATAGGCTCAAGCACATGGGTTTTATTTTGTTATAAACAACTTCTTCATACCGAACTCAGTCCTCCCGAGTCCTTAAATTTTCTTGGACTATAAATTTTATGACTACAGAGGGGCATTGAAACTTTGCTTCGCACACCATTAATCTCCTCACTCTCCAAAGAGCACGGAAGCAGAGCCTCGGCCACAGCCCAGCCGGGAGGCTTGTGTCCATATTAGTCGTGAGTTTTGTACCCTTGCACCTCAACACCGGAGGCCCAGTCTCCGCTCGCTCCTTGGCTGTTTCAACCCATTCTGCCCCATCTTACTGCTGGACGGACAGTCTCATGCTCGCACCGACTGCTGGCTGAAGCCCCAGGATAAAAGAGAACTGAAGCCTGGCAGCATTCAGAGCTAAAAGACTCTCTAAAAAAGAAACAAAACAAAAAAACAACCAGAGTCTTTTGGCTAAAAGACCTCGGTGATGCATGGGAAAGCTCCTTAAGGGACAACCAACCCTCTATCCTGAGGATAAAAAGAGCTGATCAAAACCCCACAAGCTTTCCAGTGGTGACAGCGAACTCAGGACAAATCTAGAGAGACGACGTCCATTTCCTCTGCTGATTTGGCTTCTTTCCCCAGTGCCGAGTCTGACACAAGCTTTCTCTGCTGGCTGGAGCAGAAAGGCGACGTGGCTGCCAGGCAGACACCAGAGGCAGAGGTTTACTTCTCTCTCTGACACTGTCCACAGGCAAATCACTCCTTCTGCCGAGGGAGGTTTAAGCCTTCGCTGTCTAGGCTGTGTGTTCCTCAGGACTGTCTGACTATGCATTTAGACAGCTTCTAGCACAGCGGGGAAAGAGCTGTCAGGACAGCACTCCTTACACAAATAAGGGAGAACAGGTATAAAGGCAGAACAATTCACCTCCTGCTAAGAGGATCATGAGAGTAAAACACAGCAAGGAAGGGGAAAAAAAGTCACAAATCCCAAAACAAAGTCCGACAAACATTTTTAGTTCTACAGCAAAATAAATATTTTTAACTCTGATTTACCAAGAACAGTGAGACTTGGTTCAAAAAACCTACAGATATAACAACATATGCTGAACGTCACAAGACTTTGATTATGTTGCTGTAAGTCATGCAAGAAACAGCCCGATTTATTACAAATATTCACACAGTACAAAGTACAGTATAGTAATACATGCTGGGATATAGGCCACTTGCCCTGACGACACTTACTCCATCAAAACCCAGTGTAAACAGCCAATCTTTATTGATAGGGTTTAGTGATATTCCTGTGTGTTACGTGCTTTCTGAAGCTCCAGAAATGACTACTGTTGCTACTTGCTATGCCTTTCAATAGCCGTGGACTCCCCTCTGCCAGCTGAACGCCCAGTTTATGCCCAAAAGTACATTCTCCCCGAAGTGTATGACAAAAAAATCCATAGGAATTCTGGCATGTATTGTGGAGCAAGAATGAATATATAAATATTGATAGCTGCTATATTTTAGACAGTCACACAGGTCCAGTTAGAACAACCGCATTCCATTGACTAGAAAGCGGAATTTACTTGTGTAACAGCACTACTTGATTATTCCCTGTGCCCTCTCCTTCCTCCTCCAATAGGCATCACTTTAATATGTTCTTCACAAAGGAAAAAATACCATTTAGTACCCTTAAAGATCTGTCTTCAAGGTATTTATAACGGAGATGAAAAAAACAGTTTCAGCCGTGCCTGGTTTACAGCAGATTTCTCCACAGCCCTTGAAATAAGACATCTTTGCATACCACCGACCTCAACAGCAGCGTTACTGGAGCTTGTAGAAAGATCGTATATTGATCAACCTGAACAACAGGCCCAGCAACGGATGACCTTTTTTTCATGCCTTCTGCTGTCCCCAGCAGTCCTTGTTTTCATTGCACGAGGATATTGTAGTTGATCAAAAATTGCAACACTATGCAAGGGGTATCTTCTATTCACTGCAAACACTGAAGAACAAGTATCTGGACTCCATTTTGGGCCTTGCTACCATCTATTTATGACACGGTTACACAACCATTTCCTTAGCTAAGTTGAATCAATAAAAGGGCCAGGTGTCTGTTGAAAGGGAAAGCTACAGAGGTACATTAAATGAGTGTGGTTTTCTTTAATCACAAGGATGTTACCACATCTTGGATAACACCTTAACCCCATGAAATGTCAACACCCTTTTTCTTTGTTAAAATGAGGTTATAGCCTGGAGCTATATGCAAAGCTGCTTTGGGGGCTCAATCTCACATGCTTACATTTGCAAACAGATTTGTAGAAATCCAGAAAACATTCACTGGACGGTCTTTTGGACGGTCTTTGACAGCACTTTCAACCTCCAAGTAGAGCTCAGATAGACTCCCTATGACCCTAGCCACTTGATGGAAGTAAGCCTTGCCCCATGTTTTCTTTCATTATCGCACCGCAGTTCAACAGGCACCAAATAGGTGACATATCCGACCCGAGGCTGCTATCCTCACTGTCTTTGCCAGGCTTTTGACAACCAGTGTAATGCATTTGACACATTTACAAATTATTATATGGCACCTGAGAGGATGCTGTTTATGTGATGCAGTCCAAAACCACACGTATATCTTACTAAAACATAAGAACACAAGTAAGGGCGTTCATGCTAGAACTGGTACCATTGGCCTTACCTTTTCATAAAAACAAAACTGCACAGGCAGCGAGGTATTCAGCTTCATCAGTAAGATCAAGGAAATACTTAGATATAAAGAACCACAATTAAAGAGTTCAGACCTTGGATTCCCATCTGTGAAGCAGGCATTGTCTGAGAATTCAACATACTTCTTGCCAAATACATCCAATTCTGAACATGAGAGAGGGCCTATACCATTTACAATTGTACGAAAAAAGCAGGTTTTGCTGGCAAATCCTTGTCTCCTTCCTCCACAACACATAGAATACAGTCAGTATTTTACTTAACCTCTCAATCCTTCATTTACAGACTCAAACACCCCACAATCAATCCCAAAAGACATGCTGATTACAAGTGCTATTGTGAAATAAAGTTATAATGTAACAAATTCCAAATCTCAGTGTATTGTTCAGTGAGCATCTGGTGAAGCACAAATATTACAGAGTTTGTTTCTGAATTATAAAAGGGTATTTTTTATGACGAATGAACTGGTGTGGACCTTGAAAAGCAGTAGCCTCTGAAAGCAAGCTGAAGTTATCTGTGAAAGGAAAGGCTCTTTGCTTGTTTAAAAAGATGCCAACAGTTACAGGAAGCAGTCTTCAAGAGTCAAAGTAAAGGTTTCTTCAGTCAAATATACACTGCAAGGCTCTAATTCATATCCTTCCCTGCTACACCGCTGCAGATGATGTTACGCGCCCATTAACATGCCCATGAAATCTGATCCGTTCTGAATGGTGATGGGAGCTCCAGCACTGTTGTCCACAAATATGGAGGTGTACTGGCCAGCCTGCAGAGAGAACGAGAGGGAAAAGAAAATATCTGACACTTCATCCCAGTGTAAAAGGAGGAAAAAAAGCATTTCACTACCATGAACTAAGCACAGAAGCCTCCTGCCCTTTTCTGTGGCTCCCGGGAGCAAACATTTTTACTGCAGCGCTACAGCTTTGACTTGGTGGAAGAAATTTTCTGTAGTGAAACTGTGTTATACGTTTATTACTTAAGTAGATCCTTACTGCACTAGCACCTTTTTGGGTGACGAGTCAAGTGGCCATCTGTGCTTCAGATTCCCTTCTGTGAAATGGGCAGTACAATTGCCATCTTGACAATGCAAGGGGAGATTTGAGAAAGAAAAATATTTACTGTCATTTCTTAGAGGGAAGGTTACTTCTGCGGCTTAAGATCAGAACACGCAACACAAGTCTGGCTTTTGTTCCTGTTCCTGCCACAGATTCCCTCTAGTCACCCCAGGTAAGGCATTTAAGTTCATTAACCTTAGAAAGAAGGTTAATCAAAACTTCCCCACCTCCTGGTGAGAGTTCAGCCTTGCCAGTAAATAACTCCACAGCCTGCCAAGCAAACTAGTACAGTGATTCCCAGTCTGCATGGGCTTACCTGCAGCTGCAGTAAGCCATGTACATAGATAGTGAAGATTTTGCTGTTACTTTCCAGACCAGCAATGACTTCCAAAGACCTAAACAGTAGCAAAAGAAAAATAAACAGGTTAAACTCCTAAGGCAGTCACAACAGTTGTACGTGGAACAACAATAGTCTCACGCCCCCACCCCGAAATAGGACCTGGTGGTTCTAGTGCCCATCTGTATGTACTAAACAGGTGGCCTGTTGACTTGATTCTAGCAGTAATCAGCTGCCTTGAAAAGAGAACAGTAGAACCTTGTCCTCACTGTAGTGTCTAATGGAAGACCTACAGAGCATACAGGACTGTGAACGCAAAACTCAGCTGGAGGCAGGAACTGGGAACCACCTTCTCTCACAGAGGCCTTTCTGAAGGTCCTGTGGTCTCTATCCCCCACCCTTGAATGAGTGCTAAACACGCCCTTTAGATTTATCTACATACCAGTTATCCCAGTTTGTTGACCACCACAATGTTTTTATACTCTTGTTATTCTGCAAAGAGCTAGCTATGTGCATTCTGCCAATAGCAGTTCATTCATTTTCAAGGTATAAAAGGCCTATTTCACTTTAACAATGTATGTAGTCAGCCTATGCAAGAAAGAACATATTCTGCAGCTGAAAGCTGTTTTGGGAGGACATTTGGATCAGGGGTCGCATACAAGCCAAAAAAAAAAAAAATTGTGCTTCAGTTAAAATTCAAGGGAGAGCTCCAGATCACCCCTCAAGCACTGTTCTTTTCTAATACCACGTCCTAATAGCCATCGCATTCCTTGCAGTAGCAAAACGTAGGACAGCTGCTCTTTGTGCATCCTCTGTTTACAGAACTCTAACTCAGCTCCTTTGTACAGGATTCAGGGTGGAAGGAGGTGCCTGAGAGATCAACAATCAGAACAACCCATGTAAGCTCGGTTCCAAAGCAATAGGAAAGCACAGAGCTCCGAGCCTGGCTGGTTCTTCTGAAATCTGCCTAGCCAGTGGTAGCAGATCTAGTTGTTTTCCCAAGAAAACCAACCCCTTTCCTCCCTTTTTTCCATGAAGTGGTGGTGACGAAACCTAGCAAGTGCAAACGTGCTGTTTCCAGCCCCCTTGCAAGGAACTAATATGCATAAAAGGTAGGGGCAATTTGGCCCAGAGAGAGCAAGCCACTTGGCACCACCTTGATTGAAGAGCTCAGTCTGTGTGTCATATCCTGCCAAAAGCCTAACTTGGGTGGGAACTTCCCACCATTAATCTCCTCTACTCCAACTGTCTCCTTGCCTCCGAGTTTCCATCTCTCTCAGCCGAAAGCCCTCAGGGCTCTTTCAGCTCCCTCAAATGAATGACTGTGTACGCTGACATCCCCAGGAAATTCCACAAGCACGGGTAGCAGCTTAGCCTGTGCCAGCAGAATGTCTGTCCAGACAGGTTCTCCTCCCTCCACCCATCTTCCTTCCATGCCACAGACCAGTCGCACTCTCACCCATCGTATGAGAGAGAGATGTCTCCCATAGAGCCAGTACTGATTCGGCTTTACTCCCGCTGCTGTCCAACTCACTCAACTCAGGACAGCCTTGCAGGACACCCAATCATAAATTGCGACCCCTGACAACTGATGAAAACTCCGAGTCAGACATCAGAGCGCTTTATCTAAATAATTAACATGTGGGTCAGTTCGGTCTAAGAAAAAAAAGTTTTTACTGTTACTGTTCTTTGGAGAATGTAGCTATAAATTCTTCAGATGGCAAGTTAATCTCAAGACATTCCAATAAACCTGTCTGGACTGTATGTGACAAAGAGGTTGTTCACACATCCCAGCTAGAACCAGAACAGTTTTCTAGGAGCCTTCAGCTAAAAAGACCTGCAGTGAGGAAGGCACAGCAGTTTCCATGGCCCACAGGGAAGCTTCCTATTCAGATAACTCTTGTGCTTGCATTTACCAGAACAAGGAAGCAGGGCTAAAGTCACGTTAAAAGCAATCAGAGACCGACATCCATTCTTTAGTAATATTACTGTAAGGTTGACCGAATGGACAGCAAAGGAGAGAAAGAGACACAGACAGACACTGTCCTTGGAGACAGAAGTGAGCCTTCCAGAAGAAAAACACTTTGTTCTCTCTCAGATGCCTTAATCAAATCAGTTGGGAGCTCGTGGAATCATTAGGAAGAAAAACACACCACAGTCACTTTCATTTATTTTGTAAAATTATTTAAATGGAATTTAGATATGATTCTGTAACTGAGGACAATGTAGAGTGGAGATCAGGATGGGAGAACAGCTTTTCACTCTTGGAGATCTGCCGGATCAATTTCACTTTTAAACCCTCTTAGGTGGCTTCATAAATCTCACCCACTCATTCACCAAAATCTTTATTGAAATATCATCAGGTCAATACCACCAACCGGCAATATTTTTCCACATCCCAACAGGGAACATCTTTCCACATCCCAAAAGCATGTAGAAAAAAGATTCTGTGGAATTTGCAGTCTCTGTTCATGGGGAATCCAAGGGCTAGGGTTATGAGTCCTGTTCTTGATGAAATTGCTAAGATAAGAGGAGATTGTTGTAGGTGAAAAGAAAAAAGCACCAATGCTGAAGAAAAAACCTGATTACTTGAATCTGACTGGTCTTTGCTAGGCAGAGTAAAGGACAGGAATAGGGATCTGCACTGTGCAAAGGCAATTTGTGAGAGCTACTTGTAAAAAGGACGGTAACGTTCTGCCCTACTCATACCTGTTCCAGCCCTGTGATTAAAGGTCTGGGCTGTCCCAAAATCACTCATTGTCAACATCCCAGATTTCAAGATCAGGCTGAGGTCCATTCTTAGCATGACCTAAAGGAATTCTCACAAGTGCCAGAAATTAAATGCCCCGTAAGTTCTGCAGCTTGCCAGAATATAAGGCATCCCTTCAAGGGGCAAGAAGTTACATCCCCCTTCTGCTGCCATTGCGACTGCAGCCAGTCTGTCACTGCCTCACTTTAAGTGCTGCAATCATAAAAGACTGTTATAAAACAGCCTACAAGGCCGAGGAGGTGCCAGTTGCTCCGGTCAGCAAGCTCCTTGACTTCCCATCAGGTCAGCGGGCGCACCGCTCCCTCTTACCCAAGTTACTAATGGGTACTCAGATACCAATCAAGTCTTTTCAACAGGCCAATGAAACCTAAGAGAGGTTTGTTTATTACATGAGGCTTCATGTCAAATTTACCCGCCAATAAAGCCTCTAAATTGAAATGCCTGTGGAGAGGTCAGTCCTATTTGCAGCACTCTGACTCACGGAGCAGGGAAGGTGAGGGCTGAAGCAGCCAGTCCAGCAGCAAATTTATGGTTTTGTGGGTTTAAAGTTGCACCTGTGGAGTCGTTTTATGGATATATTTCAGTGGTGCTATTGCAAGGGTGTTGCTACTGCACCAGAAAGGCAAATCTGCACAGCCCTGTACAGGCATTTTTCCTCCAGTGACAAGGGCCGAGCCGCAAGCAGAGGCGGTGGCCACTCTGTGCAAGCAGCATTGCCCTCTGCTGGGTGCAATTCAGCCCAGCCCAGGGGCTCCACAGCCCCTTCCTCCAAGCCAAGCTTGCTAAACTCCTCCTGAGCAAGCTGGCCTTCTCTGAGACACAGGGCACCTATATGCTGCAGCTGAAAGGATGACAGAAGCACAGCAAACAAGAGCAGCCAACAGCATGTTGATGCCATGGCCCATTGCATAAGGCGCAACACCCAAGGTTGCCATGGCCTAACAAAAGCGTTCCTTTAGCAGAATTTTGCTAATGGGTCGCAGCAGAGGAAAATTCAGCATGGTTATCTGAGCAAGCACCACAAGGCAGCTGAGGGCTGTGAGAAGGTATCATATACCTGTATACAAGCCCTTAACTTTCTGCCTCAGGACACATTCACCTATTTCCACCTGAGGTGGAAAGTCTCCTCATCACTCCAACACTTCCATGGCAACATGAGTGAGATGCTGTGATCCATTCAAGATGCAGCTGAAATCACAAAAATTGAGCTAACAACCTCTGGCACAAAATTAAAGTGTTTCTCTCACTCTGTATGTTTATGGTGATAGCTGAGTATTCAGCGCCTTTAGCTACATCCAGTTTCAGCCGACTTCATTCACAATTCTCTCAACATATGCAATATTTAGCTATTTAGAGTAATTAGCACTGAAAGGTTAAAAATCAGAATAAAAAAACACATAAAACCTAAGGGCCAGATGGAATCACTCTCATCAGGAAAGTTCTACAAGCATTTATCATATAAAATTCACTGTTGGTGAACCTGATTTCCACAGCTGGTTGAAACATTGGCCCATCTGAGAAAAATAATTGCCAAGACAGCATTGCAGTAACTCACGTGTATCGGTGGCACAGAGATTCAATGCAGATCAACACTCGGACATTATCTCTGGCTCGGAGTTGGACTTTACTCTTCAACTCACTGTGGTCTGGGGAAAGCAGTGGAAGAAACATAAGCACCTTCACAACGTAGCAGACTACCAGTTGCTGGTGTTTGTCTTCACAGAGACACCAGTAACCTTGTGACTTCCGTATTGGGTTTGTGTGGCAAGGTTTTGGTAGGGGGGGGGGGGCTACAGGGGTGGCTTCTGTGAGAAGCTGCTAGAAGCTTCCCCCATGTCCGATAGAGCCAATGCCAGCCGGCTCCAAGATGGACCTGCCGCTGGCCAAGGCCGAGCCTATCAGTGACAGTGGTAGTGCCTCTGTGATAATATATTTAAGAAGAGGGAAAAAAAAATCCACCACGTCGGAGCAGGTGGATGCCCAAAGGAGGCTGTCACCCTGTGGGAAGCCCGCACTGGAGCAGGCTCGTGCTGGCAGGACCTGTGGACCCGTGGGGAGAGGAGCCCACACTGGAGCAGGTTTGCTGGCAGGACTTGTGACCCCGTGGGGGACCCACACTGGAGCAGTCCGTTCCTGAAGGGCTGCACCCTGTGGAAGGACCCCACGCTGGAGCAGTTCGTGAAGAACTGTAGCCGTGGGAAGGACTCACATTGGAGAAGTTCGTGGAGGACTGTCTCCCGTGGGAGGGACCCCACGCTGGAGCAGGGGAAGAGTGTGAGGAGTCCTCCTCCTGAGGAGGAAGGAATGGCAGAGATGTGTGATGAACTGACCGCAACCCCCATTCCCTGTCCCCCTGCACCACTGTGGGGAGGAGGTAGAGAAAATCATGAGTAAAGTTAAGGCTGGAAAGAAGGGAGGGGTTAGGGGAAGGTGTTTTAAGATTTTGGGTTTATTTCTTATTATCCTACTCTGATTTGATTGGCAATAAATTAAATTAATTTTTCCCCAAGTCGAGTCTGTTTTGCCCGTGATGGTAATTGGTGAGTGATCTCTCCCTGTCCTTATCTTGACCCACGAGCCTTTTGTTATATTTTCTCTCCCCTGTCCAGCTGAGGAGGGAGAGTGATAGAACGGCTTTGGTGGGCACCTGGCATCCAGCTAGGGTCAACCCACCACAGCTTCTTAGAAAAGCACCCTTCTGGTGTTGGACTGTAAAATACTCCATCACTGAATGATTACAACCATTGAACGAATGCACTGGTGACAAAACACAGTCAAAACTGCCTTGATGCAGTTCTACATCATCACATTCATTTATTCTAAGGTCTTTTATGGAAGCCAATAATTTCCGCACATGAATACATTTTGTCCCTAAACTCATCCTCCATAAGGAGTGTTGATTTGTTTCGTTTGCATGGAGCAACCTGCTGTGGCTATCAGTCTGCGAAAGTACCCAGCTCTAAGGACCAGGTTTTGGGTCATGGTACCAAAGGGAGAGCTCACTGCAAAGGGCTGCCATTGCGCATGTTTCAAATCAAACAGGACCCAGGGAGTTCTCCAGGACTCCTTCTGCACCTCTCAGGCAGCACAGAAAAGTTTTCGGTGGATAACACTCACCAATGTGGACATTGGCTGAAAACTGGTAGATGCCGGACACAGGTGCTGTGAAACGTCCTGTTGCCAGATTTAATCCTGTCCCCCGGAGAAAAGCTCCTTTGGCCAGAGGCTGAAAGATAAGAAAAGCAGTCCCTGAACAAGTCCCCAGCACTCTCAACAATTACCTCTGCCCATGACAAAGAACAAGCTTAGGTGCACATGAACGAAGCTGAAAAAATTTGCAAGACTACTGCCTTATCTTCCCAGAACACACCTTCCAGATGGGCTCTCTCTCAGCATTTCATGCCCACAAAAGGCAAAATGATCAGTATGAGACATGAAGATGCCCTTTTTGCTCACTGCCAAACTCTTCTAGCTCATCTTGACTCAGACTGTGCTTACTGCATCCCTACGCTCTGCTGGTCCTAGTGGCCTCTAACCTCTGTTGATGTTCTGATAGACAAGATCTCCCATTGAGTCAAGAAGTCCCTTCTACTCCCAAAGGCTTTGTAGATGGGGCCAAGCTTAAAAACCTGGAATCTTATCCTCTGTATCACAAAACAGCAAACACTCATATGGGTCTCGAGAGGTTTTCTACCTGCTTCATCATAGAATCATAGAATGGTTTGGGTTGGAAGGGACCTTAAAGATCATCTAGTTCCAACCCCCCTGTCATGGGCAGGGACACCTTCCACTAGACCAGGTTGCTCAAAGCCCCATCCAACTTGGCCTTAGGTCTAAGTCAGACGGTTTTGATACTGTTAAAGAACAACTGCTTGGATTCTTACAGATTCCATATTTAGTTTCATTTTGTTCTAGCCTTGGATTCTACAGCATAGGCAAAAACCTAGTAAAATAGCATGCAGCTTCTCCTCATGGCAAGGAAGCAGTCTTAAGTCAAATTCGCAGCAGATTATCTGACTCAGACTAAAATAAACTCTGCGAGAAATGTTTACTGTTTGTTTTGGCCCGCCTCATATGAATCTGGCTGGAGATGGGGAGAAGCAGGAGTGGCTTCAGTGGGCCAAGAAAGCACATTAGTCAGACTCTGCTTCCACCACAAGGGCATTCTGTGCAACGTGAATGCATTCCCATGAATGCTGTCCTGAGAGATTTGCCCTGCCTTTGTCTTATGGGACAGGGAGCTGTTCAAATCTGACTCTGTAAAGGCATGCACACTGCTATATCCCTAAAACATGCACAAATGCATAATTGAGCGACGTCAACAACCCAACATTTGAGTATGCTTTCCAATAGCAGATGGCGAAAGGGGCCTGAGACATGGTGAACAAATTTGTAGCAGTGTTGCCACAGGTGCTATTACACTAAAAAGAAGTAGTGGAACACCTTTGTTCAAGTATCAGAAGGAAGTTAATTGCCTCCCCATTCTGGTTCATCACAGCCAGAAATTGCCAGCTTTCACAGCGCAGGGTAACAATAATTTATTTAGCTTTGTCCTGGAAAGGAAGTAAGGCTGCAAATATTTGGGTCTGGTGGCGTTTGTGTAGAGAGTTACTACATGGTAGAAGGAGTGAAATGACTAACCTGCCTTTATTCAGCAAATCCCAGGCAAGGCTCACAAAAGAGTAATTCCCAGCCCTGACTTACCAAGATCTAGCTGTAGTCTTAAATTTCACAGAACTTCACTAAAAATGTTTTATGTGTGCACACGGTGGTGAAAATATACCCACGTGCAACAGCAGTGGCATTTCTCATAAGATTACATATGTATGATGGGAAAACAGTAATAATGAACTGCAGAACAACTATGTTTCATACAATGATTTCTAAGTCTCTATATTTATCAATGTGCACTGATGTGTGCCTATGTGCACATATATACACACAAAAAGAGCTCTATTTTCTGTATGTATACACACAGACAACGTAACAGCTAACCTAACAACAAAGACTATGGAAGGATATTGATTCTGTTCTTATGCTATCACTACACCATCATTTTTGGTAATGTTATTTTTGATTTACCTCACTGGAAGAGCAGATCCAAGCCCTGTATGTGCAAAACTGTACTGCATAGTTAATTCATTCCTTTCTTGTTACAGCTATTAGCAGAATCAGCAACATAATTCCAAAACCACTGGCTGAGCATGGAAGGCAATTTTAGGCACCAGTAAATAATCACTGATAAAACATTCCTGTTTCTTCATGCCCTCTGTGGCTTTGTTATTCTTTTGCTCATAGAAATAGACAATGCAGGGAGAGGTTCTCTGGGCAAAATATTCCATTAAACCCCATGCCAATTAGAGCTCCCTGCTGCATTTGCTGCCTCACAGCAGCATACTCAACTAGCTGCTTCAAACACTGCAGGGATTTCTATCCGAGAAACTAACTAGTTGCACAAAGTTATTTCAGTTAGCAGACCAAAAGCAAACAAACAAGTTAGTGTCCAGCCATTCTGTACAAACCAAGGTCAGCTTCTTGTCCTCAGTTCATCTCCTATCCCCACGTCGCCCTCATACGCTCCCTAGTTTACTTCTGGGTGGAAAATAGGAACCATGCACAGAGAATTGAGATGTGAACTGCCAGTTTAGCTTTTCAGTGATAAACACTGCGGAAAGCAATGCATTGACTTATCTGTTAATAAAGAAAAGGATAACCCAGCCTGCACAGCAACCACAACACATAGGGGATGCACCAATCTCCTGAAGCAGCAATAAAATTCAACTGCCAAAGGTAGACATTTAGCTTGACCTCAAGGCACTAGAGACACCAGGACTCCTTCTGGGATCTTTCACCATGAAAAGCACGTGAGCCACCTTAGCCTTAAATGATCTGATTCCAATGTTCCTGGGCCCCAGATAAATCCACCTCCATGGCCTGTCAGAGGCTGCAGTTACTTTAATTCTTGCTGTGTAAAGTGCCTTTCTGAAAGCTTTTGCAAGAGGCAATCGTTAGAAACCTCAAAGCGTGAGATATGGGAGGAAGAGGTGTGGGGAAAGGAGTATCACGTTTCATTCCAGATGCCAAGGAAATTGTGAGACCAAGAGAAAGAGAGAGAGGGGACGTTCCTGGAGGAAACTTAGCATGGAAGGATGAGAAAACCATCACGCTTTCTCAATACTCAAGGTCAGAGTGACATAGACACCATAGTCAAATGACAGAGTATAGAAGTAATAGGCCGTTTCTCAGCACAGGTTCTTTCCACTATCTCAAAATGCTTTGGGTAAGGTCCAAATCCAGGAATTAGAGTCTATCTCTATCATCTCACTGAGAAGTATCAAACTGTTGGCTTCTTCACCCTATTAAACTGACAGAATGGAGGGAGGGGAATTCTCACTCTCTCTCCCCCTTGGACTGTTTAAAGACAAAGTTTTCATCTTTGCAAGAGCATCCACTGTCTCCCTGCCTGCTAAATTCCCCTATATCAGAGCACAAGCTAAAACCAGACACTTCTTGTCCCAAAGCTGAAATGAAAGGCTGGCATCCAGAGGCCTGCCAGCCCTCCCACATCAGCTTCAGGGCCAGAAGCAATTAGAAAGAAGCTAGGCATATGATAACAAAGCATGGGAAGCATCAGCCTACACACTGATTGCTGAGATGTCTTTATTCACATCTTCCCTCCTAATTAATGAGGCAGCAGATCTCTCTAGCCCTGCCCACACTTCAAGTACAATCTTGCCTCTGTGCCAGCACCCACAGTGCTGTCAAACCAGGCTTCCACAAGTGTATTTGGGAAAGATCCAGGAAAGCACCCTATTTAGAACATAACCACTGCCTCTAGTCCTGCAGCTGTGAGAAGTCCTAGCAGCAAAACTACTCCATAGGAAAGGATCTGCTGGACAGGATTCTTCAGAAATGGGACTCAGTGCAGCTGGGAAGAAAGCTCAGCACCTTACTACATGGACGGTGTTAGCAAACCCTGCTGACAGAAAGCCATATTCCCTGTTCATACCCTTCAAACTCCTCTTGTCACATCACAAAAGCAACCATGTATCTGAAGGCCTTGTGCTATTAGACAGTCTTTGTGACTCGAAAGCCTAAAATAAGTCTCCTCAATTACCAAGTAACTATTTTTTTTTAACTATTACTTTGCCTAACATTTATACTTCACATTCGGATCCTATTTGCAACTGGTTCAGAAATGGTTAGTAAAAGTTTTAATATCAAATTCAACAGCTTGCTTGTAACCATGCTTATAATGACCTACAGCATCCCATGATGGTGTGCTTGTCATTATAACATGACTGTAATGAAATTATACAGATAATGTTTTACAGAAGACTAATAAAAGTTATGTAAAGAATCTGAGCATCAGGACTGGCCCATCTAAGAAAATGATGACTCTCATTTGGGCTCACAAACCTATAACCAATGGCTTCTGTCTGCCTCTGACATTTTTCTACATCTGAACGTTACTCTGCAATTAAACAGGGTGTGCACTGAAAAAAAGAACAGATCCTTCAGACTAATGCCAAACACGGACAAGTCTTTCTCCATCATTAACTGAAATAAAAAGACTCACTGTTGTTTGGACCTGTGAGACAGCCCTCTCTTGCACAGACCTGTTAGAACTTCAGTAAGAACTGTAATGAGATTCAGCTGGGCTGCAAGAGAGGCAGAAAGTCTGCCTCTTGGGTTTGTCAGGAAGGAGAGGACTCAAAGCTAAATGTCCATCTTACTGCAGTTGAGCTTCAGTGCTGAAATCACCGTATGAGACCCCACTTCTGTCAATCACAAAAAAGGTAGTGCTGTATTCATAGCATCCAAGCCTGAGACGAGCTTCTGGGATTACTCTGCCCTTTCAGGAAACACCTTTATCTGCAGAGCCACCTAGCAGCTTTGCAGACTAGGGGAACTATAGCTGATCTACGCACAATGGATGTTGTGGAGTTGCACAGGTTCAGTCTGTAATCCCTTCTCACCGACTGGAAGTTCTGAAGTTCTACCAGGGTCTTCTTATCTACAATGACTTGTCCTTTTAGCTTGCAATGGAATGCCTCCTCTACACGTCTGTGTGGTGTAACTTCCTCCAAGGAGAGCAGGAGTGGAGGCAGCTGGCTAGGATGGGCTGAAATAGCCAGGGATGCTCGACGCTCAATGGCTTCTGAGGAAAAAAGAAAAAGTATAAGAAAATAAAGGCTTAGTTTAAGAGCCTGGTCTATGAAGCCATTAGTGCAATTAGACTTCTGCCCTCAACTCTTCAACTCAAAGCAGCACTGGGGAAACATTTTTTCAAATTTTTGATTGCCAGATAGGGGAATGCTTTAAGGCAAACGTTTGCAAAGCCAGCGCTTTATTTGCCATGGTGCTCACCAAAAGAAGCAGATCACAAAAGCACAAAGCTCTTACAGTCTTTACCTTTTAATATCTCCTTAAATTCCTGCAGAAGGACTTCCCGGGTGACTTCAGCACCAGGTGCTCCTGGAGGTCCCTGGGGGCCAGGAGGTCCTGGGGGCCCAACAAGGCCACGCTAAGGAAGCAACCAAAGAAAAACACGTGAATTAGAACCAGGCAATTGCACTGACAGACCAAAAGTTCTCTCAGCCATGAGCAAGTTCTACAGGGTTGTCAGCCACACGAGCAGCCCCCTCCACTATCAGTTCAACTACAGTCCTGACGCAGTAAATCTTAAACTGACTCTCCAGCCAGCTGTGAATTGCAGCACTTGGAATTTACTCAGGTCTTTATGTGGGAGGATAAACTTTGCTCAGGTAAACACTAACTGGTTCTTCAAGTACATATATATACAGCATGAAGCACAACAGGCACAAGACTAAGTTTGCCTCTTCTGTATCTTCTCGTATCACCAAAGTAACATACTAGCCTTTAAGCTTCTTATTCTGCCTATTCACTAACTAGAATAACCATCTAGCCCCACTTTACGTTATTAATGTATATTGCTCAGACATAATGATCACATACATGAATGTTTGGTGCGACAGTAGAGCTCTCAAAAAAATGAAACAGTTTATTCAAAACACCTGTAAAGGTTAGCCACACACACGGGAGCTTTAAACTAGTAGTACAAACATGCAACAGTGTTATCAATGCTATTTTGATGTATATTGTTCCTAGGGAGTTCCTGTTTCCTCAGCTAAACTGCAGTCAACCTGCGTGGAAGCACTCCTGCCTATCAGCTCACTGAGAAATAAAAGGAAATCATTAAAAGCATTCAAGATTGTCTAAGCAGCAGATTAAAAGTGCACACGTGATCAAGCATCACTCAGCAGATGATCAGTAATTAATTTGAAATAAATGACTTGTCCACATCTTGATTAATATATCCTTTGAGATACCTGGACTTTATCTAGTGGAAGGAAAAAAAAATGTTAATTTTATTTCTACTGAGCAGAAAAAAACCAAAAAAGGCTCAGTCCAAGAAACAGCTGGTTTAAACAAAAATTAATGTTTACAGCAGAATTCACATTCCTTATCTTACAAAGCATATAGCACTTACTGTCTCAAACTTCTCCAAAATACTCTGAGAATTTAAACACAAACAAATGAAAACGCACTCTCTGGGGTGGGAAGGTAAGAGCTGGAGCACACAAAACACCTTGCATATCAGCAGTAGGAAGGGAAGCCACGGTGCATATTAATTAGCTGATGGCAGTCTAGCAATAACCTACTAATTTCTTGTCTTTCCCTTTGCATCTCCTTTTAGAGGTATTGCCATCATCTGGGCGGTGAACAAAGGAGATCCAGGTCCGCCGTGGATCTGCGATTCGAGGATCTGGAGATTCTAGGATCTAAGGAGAAATAAGAACAAAGACTGGTATCACTGTATCTCTTTGGCCACTACATGGATTCAGCGAATGCAAAGCTTCCAGACCAGGCTGTTGTCTGCTGCCTAAACCACATCCTTGATTCAAACGTACTGCATTTGGGAGGACATTGAAGGTGGGATAAAAATGGGATTTTACACTTCTGTAACAAGCAATTCAGTTTGGATTATCCACTTTTTGTCTTCATTTACAGGAGCATTGCAAATGCAGGATAGCATTTCAGTCTGAGTTCTGACACAGCATATGAAAGACACCAGCTTTTCGAAGAGTCCCATTAGAGTGGGATTTTTTTTCTTCATAAATTAAAGGCTAAGTCCGCCAGCAGAAATGTCCCAAAAGCCAGAAGATGCTGCCCTTAGAACATCAAATGCCTTCTCGTAACTTAATATGCTATCACCTGCAGGGCCTCCCAGCTCCCTTTGCTTAAGAAATCAGTAAGAGCCAAGAGCTGGGAGCCAGTGTACCTCAGAGACCTTTCTCAAGCTGCTGAGACCCTCAGCGTTCTGACAGTCCTAATACGTGCCACAGAAAACCTGCCCAGATGCCAGAGATTGCTCACCACTGGCATCTGACATTTATGAGTGGAATCTATCAAGCAACACAGGGAGATTAAAACGTACAGAAAACTTTGAAATGCCCCATAACTTTCAAATCACAGGCTGTAGAGTGACAAATGTGCACCCAGAAAAAACAATTCACAATGAAAAACAAAGTCCACGTCTGATCACAGAAAAGATGTCCATTGGCAAATTTAACTACCTTGCCCATTCCTATCTTCTGCAAGTATATCGTAGCCATAGAGAAATTATCTAGAGAAGCTTTGACATTACAGTGCCTAGTTTTGGATCCCTTCTAAACAAAGTCTGGACAGAAGAGAGGATCTGTCTTTACGAGTTTGGGTCTACTTCCTACTGGACTCCCTGGTTCCCATTACTCACCTCCCAGAGACAACCAGAAGTAAGTGATCAAATAGCCATACCTGTTGTTTTTATCCTAGGCTGGGAATGAACTTCTAACTTTAAATTAAAAAAAGGCACCAGAAATCATTGGCTACTAATACCCTGCCAAGCTCTTGTCAAAAGCAATTAGCTGTTGACTATGGAGGTTCCAATCTGTTGACACATCAGCCTCCCAAATGTCCATCACAGTGAGGATAAAAGCACAAGCCCTCCCAAAGTTTCATGAACCATGCTTAAGTACTCAGAGCCATTAATGAAAAAGCCAGAGAGAAAAAACTGCAATGAACACTTAAAATATTTAAAACAAACAAACAAACAAACAAAAACCCCACCCTGTGCCTACTGTAAACTTTTGGAATTCATTCAAGAAACCTGTTTTTTCTCCTCTTGGTGAGACAGAACAGGTACAGATCAGAATTCCAGCAGGAAAGCAATACAAGGCAGTAGTGGGTTGAATGACATTTGAAATGATTCCTAGACTATTACAAGTTTAGGTAAATCAATATTGATCTATCACCATTCAGAGGAAGAAAACAAGATGGGTGTGGAAAAAGCATAGAAGCAAAGTCAGTCAACAGTGCGCTTTTCAGATCTAAAAGTGTTTGCCCCTGGGTGTTAAGCTCCTACTAGTCTGACAGCACTAGGCAGTTCTGCCACAGCTCAGACACTATAGCTCTATCCTCAGCAACCTTAACAGTAACAGTGACCTTGCAAGGTGCTTCCAATGCAGCCAAGTCAGCAAACACATCTACCTTTGCTCATTACCTGTCTCACTTGGCTCCCTAAAGCACTTGAGAACCATACTGAGTTTTAATACCATTTCTAGTGCCACTTATAAGCATAGATTCCCTTTCATCAAATAGTCTGCAGAAGCATGTAGAAAACAATTAACCTTTAGAAAGCAGGTAGAGCTGAGGTCCCAATAACCGCAATATATGCCACTGTCTAAGAGCAACAACAACTGGACAGAAGATTGCAAATTTTAGCTAGAAATATCAGGGCAAGCCCATTTTGAGGGGAAAAGACCACAGTCTGTGTGATCTGCTATGAAAAGTCCATGCAGCATAAATTGTTTCAAAATTAAATCTTAGAAGTCTGCTGAAATTCCAGTTTGAGGTTATAAGGAATGTCAGTGCTTCTAAGCTGATGCAGAGCCTAGAAATCTCTTTCTCCGGCATGCATCCAGGCACATGGGTGTAGTACAAGGCACTTGTCCACAGATTTCTGAGCTGATGTGATCACAACTATTTATTTCAAACAGCTTGGGTCAAGAAATTATTTACAAACCAGCAGAATATGAGCAACTCCCCAGAAATCAGATGTGTTGAGAGCTGAGCAAGGGTATTTGTTAAACATACATCTCAAACTCTGTGAAGCCAACTCTATCTTCTCAATTCAGCAAATAATCTTAGGTGATTTACTGCTCAGACACAACCCACAGAAAGATCTACTCCTATTGAATTGCTCTATTCAAGCAGTCCACTTATCCTCCCCTCCAGATAGATGGCTGCAGAGTAGCTGGCGTCTGTGCTCTAAGCCAAAGCAAGGATACCCCGAGATATTTCGCCATGTTGTTCATGCATTCTACTGCAATTAATCAGAGCCAGAGTTATGGTTATGCACACTCCCCCGATGCTCAAATTTAGCGTGTACTGCAAACAAGAGCAAGGCAAACTCTTCATAACAATCTAGTTCATTATTTCTGTACCCAAATCAGTCTTGAACGGACTTTTTATGTTTATAACCACATTTACAGTCAGCCATAAATTGTGTGTTTAGTCAAGGGATTCTAGTAGATTGTTTTAGCTAAATTATTATTTGCCTTTTTTACTTACCGCACCCAGGACTTAAATAGCTTTCCAAAATTCCATTGGAAATTAATGTAAATGGAGCACCATAGGAAATCCCGGGTATTGTGAGATTAGTCACCTCACTGAAACATTATCACCTTCCCACAGATTGCTTGACTGCAGATTTTTGTGAAGCGTAAGAAAAGTCAAAGACTGGCCAAGAAGGTCCTTTGGTGCAAACCTCTCCATCTATTGTAACGTGTAAACATCAAGTCCAGAGGCAAACGTTCACAAAGTTTGCAACAGTCCTTAGAACAGCACACGAGGTGCAGCTGATTTCTACAACAAACATGAAGTATATTTATCAGAGTTTCATGGAGATTTAACAGTTTCTGATGGGAGAAGCTAGTTCTTTCCTACCCCACTTCATCTGAAAACAGATGGGTGCAGCATCACCACACACAAGGTCACACCTGCAGAGGACTGTGTTTATGAGCATTTAAGTTTACAAAGCTCATAAATGTAAAGCAGGTCAAAGCCTACCCGTGCTTTGCCCAAAGGAAGCAGATGGTTTTTTGTCCCAGTGACTGGGACTGAGAGGTCTGTGGTAAAGCTGCAGTGCCGTTCACAAAACAGAAGGAAGCAACTTATTAATAGAAGCACCCAACTCAGGCAGGATGGAGTAGCACTCAGTGCTGTAATAGAAGCCAGCAAAAGAACAGCTGGGTTGCAGAGAAAAGGAAAATAAAATCAGTTCATCCTTTAAAAAGGGCTGGCTCATGTGGCAGGAACTCAGAAGTGCAGTCTCCAGAACACAGCAAACACAAGACCAGAGTCTTAGGAACCGGGATGCAGCATTTGCTGCAGATGTGGAAGAGACTATTCAAGTATTCCTGGTTTCCACCGGGCTGCAAGACAGGCATAAACTCCCCTCCACTGCAAAAATGAGGAAACAGGCCAGCTAGAAGCAGAAGCCAGCAATCATGGGCAGACCCTGACCATTAACTGTGAAGACAAACAGATGTCCTCAGCCTTTCTGGAGCTCCAGCTGTGAAGAAACAGGCCAGAGCAGCCATCTTGTCAGGGAGAAAAAAGAAATCCAGATGGCACATCCCAGAAAAATAAATTAAAAACTCCTGAAGTTAAAAAAAAAAAAAAAATCCCATACCTCTCCAGTGGCTTGCTTAAATTACAAATCCCTCTACAAGACAGTCATGGCACTCCCCAATTTCTCCAGCACAAGGATGATTGACAGGTAAAATGAATGTTCCATCCTTGTGGTATTATTATTTAATTACTATGGCATGCATGAGCAATCCCAGCAATAAGCATACAAGCCTCTATTTTTCTTGGCAGCAGCAGCCTCCAGCAGCCAGAGAGACCTTGCAGCCAACTCAGGTATTAGTCAGGACTGAGAACAGCCTTGGAATCCCAGCAAAGGGGACTTGTCCCTCCTGGGGTGCTGTTTACAGAGCAAAGCTAACCTACAGGAGTCAGGAGGAATCCTCATGTTAACTACAGTGAAATCAGGCTTACTCCTTAACACTTGAAACAGTACCTCCAAAATCAACAGAAGCCTTGCCAGCAAATTTTAATGAACTTTCAATCAGGTCTTTTAACATTACTTTGGAATCCGAATACAATGGCACCTATCACTTCAGAACCAGTTTATGACACTGATGAGAAATTAGCCCACTCTCTCCCTAACCTCCCTCACAATAAAAGGCAAGTTGAGCTGTAATTTAGACTGCTGCACACAAGCAGAACCTGCGGTTCTTTCTGGCTCTAACTCCCAGAACAGCACGCACTGCCCAGAGACACACACAGGCTCTGGCCAAGATTCAACCAGCAAGGAAGAAACTACTAGCAGAAATCTACAGTCAAGTAGCAGAGAGTTTGGATCCTGAGAAATTTCTGAACTGTATCTGAACTTTCCTGAAATTCAAGGATTCTGGGATCCAGTCTGCATCTCTGCTAAAAACTAAAGTGAAATGGACAAAAGTACTTTCAGAGTCTGGATGAATAAAAGAAAAAAGTCAACACTACCTGTGAGCAAGTCTGTACACCTAAAAGCATCTCAAAGTGTTCTCAGGCACACCTAAGCATTTCTCAGGGTGGAACAGGATGGAAAGAAAGCATGAAAAGGTTACAATTTTGTGAGAAGACAGCATCCTTTCCACCTGCGATTTGTCAGAGATGTGTGGCCAAGAACCTATACCTAACCATTCCAGTCCACAGTCTTTATGCCTGAAGTTACTGCCCTCCAAGTTTTGCTCAGTTATCTACGTATTTGTCCACCTGTGATGGAATTATATTTAAGAATTATTTGCTTAATAGTTAAGTAGTTGCCAGACACAAAATGGACCTGACTAAGCATTTCAATTATCTTAATCCACACATTTCTATGTTGTTACACCTGATTTACACCAACAAGAGTTATTGCCAGCTTCATTATGAAATTAGGAGCAAATTCTTTATTTCAGTAGTGTATTTTACTTGGAACAGGTTAAAAAATGACAGACCACTTTTTTTTTTAGCATGAAAAATCCTATGTCAGCTGCTAATAACTTACGGTTATACACACTCTTGGTTATTAATGAGATGTAAAACCAAGGTCCTGACCACTTGTGGTTTTTACAGATCCCTCAAGAATTTTCCCTAGAGCAGAAGTGTTAGGCTTGGTATCTTAGCCAAATCCGAAATGGAATTCCTACCTAAATTCCCACTATGTTTTGTGATTGAAAAATTATTCTTCACTCCTCTAAAAGGCTATCTCAAAAAGCTTCTCCCCTGCACTTAAACACAAACAGCCTTCAGTGGTCACACCCATAATGAATTTAATGAATCTAATGGAACAGGTCACATGAGCAAGAGCTACGCTGGGTGAGAAAAGGACATGATGTTTGTTCCTGCGTTAGCTGTACTGCAATGTCAATCAGTGCCACCCCTGGATGTACCAGTGGAGTTCTGTCTTTAGGGACGCCACAAGAAGGTAAGGAACTGAACAGCACCAATAGAACAGATGTAGCACAATGCATCTGGCACACAAAACCGCATACTTCAATAATGAGCTTTAAAAATCTTACAAGCAGCTCTGAGAAAGGAGACCAAGCACTGAATTACTGCTATGCTGAGTCAGATGTATGAATCCAACATTATTTTACATGGGCCACAAGGAATTGCTGGGAAGCATATTATTTGTTATAGCCCTCCTTGTTCATAGTATGCCAGAGCAAGACTGACAATGGCGACAGATACAAAACATGGAAGATAACAGCTTCTACTGCAGATAGGTCACAGTCCAGTCTCTCCCATGGCTTTAACACTTGTCAGGCCCAAAAATACTTTTCTCGATTACACATGCAATCACACACTTCAGGCTAAGACTGAAATCTCTTTACAGAGGAGGAATGCAATCTGTGCAATGTCATCGAACCACCTGCTGTTTTCAATTGGAGGCAAAAGGCCCCAAAGAAATAATTCAGAGAGATTTAAGTAATAGACCAGGTAGACCTAGCCCTAGATATTTGACAGAGACAGAAGGATCACAAAGGAAATAAAATTTCAAGGACTCCTTGGCTATGTAGTGGGTAACTAAATTAAAAACGTTACACTATTTCTTGCAGAAATTGCACTGAGGGTAAAATCCTGTTGACTTCAAATCATCCCTGAAATTTCACTGGGACTCTGAGTCAATAATTTTCCCCAGGTTAGGATGCTGTCTTTGGGTTGCTTAGCTGAAGGACCCCTAAAAGCAGCTCACAGGACAGCTGAAGCTGGAAGGGACATCCACAGATTGTCTAATTCAACACCCCCTGCTCTAAGCAGGTGAACTACAGCAGGTTACTGTGGACCATGTGCAGTCAGGTTTTGACTGTCTCCAGGGACGGAGACTCCACAGCCTCTCTGTCCAGCCCTTTCTAGTATTTGACCATCCTCTCAGTAAAGAAGCTTTTATTCTTATGTTTAAGTGGAATTTTCTGTATTTCAACTTGTACCCACTGCCTCTTGTCCTTTCACTGGGCACTAAGAGTCTGACTCCATCTTTATTCCCTCTACTCAGGTATCAAATGGTAACTCCTGATCAGTGTCAACCCTATATAACCACTGAACAATCTACTACTGCTGAACTCCTGTTAGTATAATATCACATCACGCAAGACAAGATCCATGCCTGGGAAGGGGAAGGCAAGCCTGGCAAGTGGCAGCTGCAGGTACTCAGCCACACACAGTCAAAGTAAGAAGGCCCAGTAGATTACAACCTCTGTACCCATCAGTCATGTTCTGCTCTCTCTCTCAGTCCATCTGTGTCAGAGAAGAAAACTCTCATGTGCTTGGCAAGCACATCACATTGACAGCAACTCAGCAAAGATAAGACTGGAGAAAAACTTCTTTTAAAAAAAATAAAAAACCCAACACACTTACTGTTTCCTTGGAAATATCAGGTTTATCAGGAGACTTGAGACTTCTGCTTCCCTGTTTTAGGTAGAGGTTTCACCACATGACTCATGCACTGTGGATGTTAAGGGGGAGCTTTCTCCACTCCTACTTGAAAGGAATTCCCAACAGAAATTTGTCCCAAATTGTTTTGCTTAATTAGAAGGAACACACATCTACCTTTTCAACAGTATGAATAAAAATCACTACTCTCAGCTAGTATTTCATTCCCTGCTCCTTCTGCTTTGATAAACCTACCAGCTGGCCACAGAGTCTTCCAAGGTAAACATAGCCTTAATTTTTACTATACAAGGCCAAAAAAAATTCCATCTTTCCTGTTATGTGCTGTAGAGAAATGAAATGGGACACTGCTGTTGTTTCACTTTCCTGCGCAGGGCATCCTTTCATGAAACAAAACTGCTCACAGAAGTACCTTCAAGGCTCAAAGAGATCAGTCTTCCATAGAGAACTGCTTTCAACCTTCCTTTAGCTTGATAGGTTAAGTAAGGATAGCTTCACTATTACTTTACTTCTTCCCTTAGTGAATACAAATTGTGATGCTTTGCCGTAAATGGCAGCTGTCACTAACCCCAGAAATGGTGGCAATTCTTAAACACTGCATTTATAGTATGTGTAAAATAATCCCTTAGCTTGGGCACATGCTATATAAGTATAAAATACAATACAGTCACCCATGACATTTAGAAGCAATACTTAACTAGAGCCTGGACTTCAACCTCAAACAGATTCCAAGGAGAAAAGTTCACGTTGCAAAATTTGGGAGTGGATATCAGGCAGAGCTCATAAGCATTTACATCAAAGATTTGGTTTCGTCCTACCCTTATTAAACAGAACCTGCCTTCACTGAACTCGCCAGCTCCTACTGCAGCCAAACCTTTGCCATGGATATTTTAAAGCAAAGTATTTCAACACAGAAACTGCAGCTTCCAAACAATGTCTGTTTTAATGAATGCCCACTAGACTCCAGATGAGTACTGTGTATCTTCTAGCAATAATGTATGTATGACTATATCAGAATTAACCAGGACCAGTTTCTGCTTGCTTTTGCAATCAGAATATATTCTGCTTGCGGTCCAATACATTTCACATCAAGCTAAATTAATTCCAGAATAGACTGAAATTTAGTTGCACCAGGTATGTATCTGGCCCCTTTTGCAAAAGCAGAATGAAGCAGTTCTAGAAAGAGAAGAAAGTGATTGATTATAAGCACCTCAAGAATTTAGCAAGTATACAACCTGTCCTAACAGAGCCCTGCAATACACAACAAAAAAGTAGCTGAAGAAACACTGCTTACAGTCCCCTAATGATAATTTTAAGTGCAGCAGCCAGCTTTTTTATATAGAGGACTGTTTCTCAGACTTGCCCAACCTTAACCAATTACTCTCACAATAGCATTGAATAGGATATTTAGAATGTCAGCCCAATTGTTCTAACTTGCCCCCTCGGCCATGCCCCTATTTCTGACAGGTTTGTTCCTCTATTGCTATAGTGACTGCCATCCCTAATGCTAGTGATCAAAGTCATGTTTTAGAGGTCACCTCCATTTGAAGCAAGGGACGTTTTTGTGTGAGCAGGGGAGAGAGAGAGAGAAGGGGCTGTGTGACAGGGGAGACTCCATCCTTTCTCAGTGTTGTAGTCTCCCTTCCATTTCATCCTGCTCCTAATCCTAGGACCTGCTTTTAATTCCCTAACCCCCTCTCCTACTCCCGAGCATTCTATGCAAGTTTTCATCTTAAAGGATTCTGGGGGCTATGATCAATTGACTGGAAATTTTTTGCAGCTTTCAGCCTGGGGTGATTCTCCCAAACACGTAACTGGAAGGATCCTACCTTGCAAAATTCACTCACTAAGCCTGGCAAGTCATCAGCTACAGCCACTGAGGTATCATACACACAGTCTTACACTTGCCACTTATGCACAATTACCACCATCCTGAATCCTTTCCTACAAGAGCCACAATCACCTTAAACAGATCATCTGACTACACCAAAATTTTTCTCATCGGTAATTTTCAATCACCACAGCATCTCTGGTGGAAGGTGCAGTGCAGAAAAAGCTCAGGCACGCTCAGGTGTTTATACTGTTGCCTAAGACAGTTTTGAAATAACGTTCCAGAAAGTAAAGGGTTTGCCTGCAAGAGATACATTAATATTCCAGTATCATTATTTTACTGCGATAGCCCACTTGCCTTTTTTTAATCAGTTGTTTCTGAACAGGATAGTGTTCATACGCTAGAACTCCAAAATGTCTCTACACTTAATCAGCTACTACGAGACTGGAACTTCAGTCATGCATATTCTAAAATAAATTATAACAGTAAATTGCAGTATTCCAGTGTTTGCTTCAGTAAGCTAGAAAATCAATCATGCAAAAGCAAAAAAGAGAACATTTCTATTTAAAATCAAATAGAATTTGGCAAGATTGCCTCAATCATTGGAAAAAGGAACCAGCATCACCTTACTGCCAGAAATAAGTTCTACCAAGCACTGACGACACATAAACACCTACCTTGGGATGCCCGTGCAGTTCTTCACTGTTTGAGAGGGTAGCATTGAAAGGCTCTGTATACTGATTAGGTTCTTTCTTCATCTTTCTCTCTCTCTTCGCTGCCGTAACTCTGAAGAGGCAAAACTGCTGACAAAGTAAAGTTGCCACAAATACCCAGGTGCACCCCTTCATTTTGAAAAGGGAGGGGCCAAGTCAGGAAGGGCACTCTCCAAGCACAAAAACCTTCACCACCAATAATAGGAATAGACACAGACTTCTCTCTAAAAAAATAAAAAATAAAAAGGTTAGAACTATTAAAGATGATCCTCTGGGCTATGCAATGTCAAATGAGCAGCACGCACGGATGCGCTGGTTGCTGGAGAGATCTCTGTTCAAGCAGGACACATGGAAACGGTATAGATAAACTTGTTTGAAAATCTGGATTCACTCGAAGAAAGAGGTAAGTCCATTCAGCCTCTTGAAGCTTACATAAATACAAGAGGCCCTGGAAAGTCCTGCCACCCACCTTGAAGTGTCGCTCCCCCCCCCCAAATAAGTCTTCAAACTCGTTTAAAACGCACTCAACTATGAAACCTAGAGAAGTGAAATTGCTCAGGGCAACAGTTGCTCAGGCCGGAGCTGACAACACAAACTCATTAGGGGGGTTGTTAGGTTGTTCCTCTTCAACAGGAGATTTCACTTTCTGTCATTTGAAGCATTGTGTTCAGTTCAAAGCAGGCTTGAATACGATCCATCCATTCTCTCTTGAATGATACTTCCCTTTCCTCAGTGACAAGTCCTCATCCTTTCCTTTCAAGATGCTGCGGAACTGTAACCCAAGGTTGCTACAGCCACTGCTCTTCTGAAGAGGCTGAAAGCATCACAGCTCAGCCTAGTGCTCAGTCTTCTAAGAACAAAGTAAATTTCTCATATCATAAAAGTTACAACAGGGAGAAGCAAAGAATCCGAGGATGTACCTAGGTCCATTAGGAGCAGATAAAGTTTTCCCAAGTCTAGCTTCTATGCCTCTTTAGCTGGGTTTATCTTCACTTCTCTTTAATGAGACGATGAGCAGTAAGTCCCGATGCCGCAAGCAGCTGTCAGGGTGTAGAATCTCATGTCTTTTTCATCCTCATCTCCCCTCACACTAGACACGATTTCAGGTACCTCTGAGTGTAGATCACGTCTGATTTTTCTTGCTGCTCCTTTCCTCAGCTGCACACTGGCAAAACCCTCCTCAGCTTTTGCTTTACCTCAGCAAATAAGTACTTCTTTCCTGAATGAGTTTCCATCAACTTCAAGAAAGGGGAAAAAAAAAAAAAGAAAAAAAGGAGGAGGGATCACATTCTAATGAGCTGTCAAGCCTATTCTCTTCACATTCCTATTAGACTCACTGATAAGTGGAGCTGGCCCGTGTGCCAGGCAGATTTAAATCAATGCCCGTTCCCTGCTCCCTCCCCTCAGCCCTATTCTGTACCTCCCCTTCATTATCTCAGAGAAATCACCATTTTTCTGGGAAGTTTGCAAAACTGTACATGAGTGTGTGGTAGAGCTAAAAATATGTGGCTTGGAATATGCACTCAGCATCGCACCACACATTGATACATCAGAACTCTTGCTTTATACTCTAGTTAGCTGTGTTCCATGCAACATTTCCCTCTAGCTCTCATTAGAGCCTGGCTCAGTGGGGGCTCTCCGATTTCTTCACAGGAGAGTGGGCTGTTTATTAAAAATAACAGAAACCCAAAGGTTACACATCTCCTACAAGCATTTCATAAGGGAGATCTTGAAGTACTTGGACAGTCTGCAAATCTTTGTCAGTTCCCCACTACCTAGAACAATTATTCCTATTCTTTCTACAAATACGGAGAGCGATGCAAAACTTTAACTGAGATTGTACCGTAAGAAAGTGGAAGAATGATAAAAGGTTGAAGATCACATAATTTGAAGTCCCTTATGCAGTCAGCAAGCAACAGATTTACTTTCCTTTAACAATCCCTTTACCATGCCTTCTGTAATCCAAGTCATAATGCCAGCACAGTTATTCATTGGACTTTAAAGGGAGCCAGGGTGGATCAGGAGCAGCAGCTCTATTATCTATGGCTCAGGGAAACCGAGGCATGAACAATCGGAGCGCAAAAGCAAGAAGTGTAATACAGATTTATTTTTTTTTTTAAGCATCTTTTGAGAGAAATGGAGTTTGGGAAATAGAGGAGAGTAAGAAGGGAAGTTACACAGAAGCTAAATAGTTAACAGCATATGACCCCTCCCCCAACTAGCTCACATTCCATCAAAACTACGTGGCAGACTTTATTTGTTAATAATATTTAACTTTCTTTGGCGCCTTCTCATACTTAAGCCTCTTTTTTCAGGTTAGTTGTAGACAAGCCATGAATTTGTAAAAGTGCACTTGATGACACATTAATAGGACAATCTGTCATATTGCAGCTAAACAGCTTGACAGATCCACACACCATGGCAAGAAATGACATTCAAGGCTGGAATGGGGCAATCACTTTTTTTGGTCTGCTGGTGCAGGCTGCATCTGTCTGCCTGCAACATCTCCTTTCCCATCCCAAGAGCCAAATCCCTAGGCTATATCCTCAGATTTGGGGGAAACGAATCCTAACTATGTTTGCAATCACAAGGCAAAGTCACTTGATGGTCCAGTAGGACAAACTGACTGTAGCTAACTCCCGACCGTATACTTTTCTCTATGTTGGGCTGAAACAAGTGTCAGCACAGTTGTTCCCTCTCCTCCAACCTTCCATTCAGCATTTGTATTATCTGTAGAAAATTGCACACCTGGCTGCTGCTGTTCTCACATCCTAGTTGCAGCAGTTCCAAAGCACCTGAATCTTGCCAATGCATGAACAACATTCAACCCCCATTTGCAAAAAAATAAGAATAGGCCGATGTTGCACTTAATAACACAACAAAACAAGGATCTCAAAGTGACTGAAAAGACAAATAGTTTCTTCTCTGAGCTCAGCACCATTGCAGCAATATCAGGAATAGTTAAGAATGTACCAATACCAATTCTGCATGAGGAAAGTTTTGAAGTAGGGAAGATATTATAAGAAGCCACATTTACATTTCAAAATTGTGTGCAAGAACCCAAATACAGTGTTTGCAAACGCTGTAAGATGTGTGTAAAGCTAGAGAGGAAACTGAATAGTCAGGCAAGAAATTTGTGATTTGATCTTTCAATCTCTACTTATGCAATTTGCCTTTTACTCAAGATAGACCTTACCTAACTATGCTAAGAATAATAACCAAAGGGCAAAAGGTCAAAAGCTAGGCTTTTCCCAGAGTTGCCCACTGTAGATGTATTGAACAACTCCTAAGCCTTGGGGCAGAGTGATTTTTTTAAGCCAATACAGAAGAAGGCGCGTTACCATTCGCTGACACACCCACCCACCCCTGCTTCATAGCAGATGAAGGTCTAGAGTACTCCTATGATAGATCCCTTAGGTTTAAATCTAAAATTTCTCAATGCTAATCCGATATAAACCCGAGCTGTTGATTGGGTTAATATACAAAAGCTGTTAGAACAAACCTAAACACACCGGCAGACAAAAAGAGCAGCTTTGGAAGACAGACCAAGAGCTTACGGCCACTCCGGTTGTTCCCCCCGCGGAGCCGCCCGTACCCCCCGTTTCAGAGAGCCCCTCCGCTTGGCTCTCCCCCGCATTCCCCACCCAGCGCAGCCGGCCGGCCGCTGGCTCACCACCCACGCGGGATCGCTACGCCATCTCGTGGCAAACCCACGGAAACACCGGGACGCTGGGCAAAACGGGGAAACATCTGCCGCGACTCCTAAGGCTTCTCTCGCAGCGGGCCCTTCGGAGCGACCGTAACGTTGTCGTGGCAAAGCTTTTACCAGTAATAAAAGGTTCCTAGTAAACCCTAATAAATCATCCTCATTCGTTGCCCAGGAAAGTCTTTTCAATAACATGGGATGTGAATGCTTTGAGTTCATGTTCAATAGCCTCCCTTTTGTGTGTGTGTATGCGATTTTTCCACTGAAAACATGACTTTTCTGCTTTAAGAAGTAAGATCTGGCCTTTGCCGGACAGAGAAAAAAAGCATCATCTTGTACACTATTTGTCTTCCTGTGACTGGGTTGCGATATAAGCCACTAACAGCAACAAATTATTAGCAGAAATTATTCAGAGACATTCAAAAAGTACCCTTTGAAGCACAGGGCTTAGGGTAATAACTAATTACAAATTATGAGCTTCTCTTCTGAAAAGACGGCTTGTCACTTGCTGACTGCTTACATATTTGAGGCAAGTTGGGAGAATCCATGAGATGGGCAAGAAGCATCTCATTTCTTTGGCCTTCTGTGTATGGGAGAGTTCCCCATTTAACAGTTGGCTAGATAGACACTATCAACACCCAAGATCAGCTTCAAATCCAAGTACTTGTGCAAACGCAATAGGAGGGTTTTTTCCTCACAGAATTTGTCTAGGGTAGGGGCAGAACAATGCCTGTCCTCACAGCAAGAACCCTGTATGACTACATAGATCTGAAATACAGGAACACGGCTATCCTCATCTGGCTAGTTCCTTACTAATGCAAGCACTAAAAAAAACCCGAAGCAGGGCACTGACAAAATGAAAAGCACTAAGTCTAAGCAACGGAGCACAAAAGAACTCCAGGCACAAGAACTGTTCTGAGTAAGAAAAAAAAAAAGGTGGAAATACCAGCGTTAAGGAAAATACATCATTTCATAAAACAAATTAGGACACAGCTCAGCCCTGGCAGATGTCAGTCAAGCAAAAAACCCCTCACTTCCATCAAGTTATAAAGAAATTGCTATTAGAAATAACTATGTTTTGGATCCACACACACAACTGAATGCCAGTCCACAATCAAATTCTAAAAGTCAAAAGTGAAGACAGCCTCTGAATAACATTTACTGCTTCACACAGCACTGAAGCTGTCCCGGTATCACAGATCTAGCTATCCAGATGTTAAGGGAATAGCAGCAGACTGAAGTCAAACTGTACTCAAACAGCAAATGATGAGTTAGGAGCAAGGTTCCAATCTACTTTTTTCTTCAGAGACATCATCGCTGTTGGCAAAAACAATGGAACAGCATCTCAGAGTGGCTCCTACATGTCTCAGAGTAGGTACTGAAAACAGGTACTGCGCTACAGTGACAGTTGTGACATCTATGTAATCAC